TCATGTGAACAGAAGAACATCAACAGAGTGGGAAACTAATTCCTTCCAAAGTGGGAAATGCAGACAGGAACTTGGTAGGGCATGAAGGCATCAAAGGTGGAGCCTGGGGCCCTTTTGTCCCCTGAGCTCCCCTGTAGATCCAGAGGTTATCAAGCCACCAAAAACATGAATGAAAATATCTGCCATGGGCATTGAACATTTTAATCTTACTTTCATAAACTTTTCTCTCCTTTGTCACCTACCTGTTCTGTAGATTTTTCGTGGCACTCTCCAACTTTTACCTAGAAGGAGTGTCCTCAGCCAAATTAAACCATAGGAATTATTTCTTAGATTGGTCCATTTCTATTACAGTAAGACAAAGTTTAGAGAGGGACGTACACATTTAATAAATAGAAAATATTTATTATACAGCATTATCAAGATTATTTGACAAAAGGCAGTAACAAGCCAAAGAAAATCACTTTTACAAGAAGCAAAACAACTTATATAATCACGTACATTAAGATGGAGAGTTTCTGCCATTTTGGTACAGAGTACATATGTGTACATCTCCAGCTTTTAATTAATTATGATATAAGAGCTCATACTCTAATTATGTAGGAAAACTCATGACCAGGATATTGGTAGGCATTCAGAGTAACGCTGTAATTAGTATTAACTGTGTTCACCAAATGTCTCAGACCAAAACCTCAGGACAAACTAATATCTTACATTAGTTCAATAGAAATCATTTTCTTTATCTAATTTGACTTTTAAAAACTCTCAATGCACAAGTACTCAAATATTAAAGATATATATTAGTGGCTTTAAAATTAAAAGGCCAGGTTTCACTAGTAGAGTATAACACCTATCATCCTGCTAGAAAGCCTACTCATAGAAATTCGTCTATTAAGGGCTGGAATCATCCATTTTTTGTCATCCTGCTGCATTACAGTGGAAACATGGAATGGAAACTCATATTTTAGTTATGAGGTCTCTTCAGTAAAGGTATTTTGAAATGATTTTTGTAAAGGAAAGACTGTGTATTCTTGATAGAACTGACTGAATTCAATAGAACATGATAAAACATAAGAAACAAGGCTCCAAAGTAGGAGTTCTTTAAATTCTGAGTAAATAATGCTGTCTATATTTAAATTCTGTAATATGATTTTTGGCTAAGAAATCAACAGCATCATTGGCAGCATCAATATGAAGAAAGTATTTAAAAATATAACTAAGCATAAGGCAGAAACAAAGACATTTAAAGGGCCAGGATACATCCTGCAAATAATGGAAGAAATAAATACCAGAAATACCAAGAAAATTTCTTTTATTGAAGATAATAAAGAAGCACAAAAATAGAATAATTGCATTATATGTACATGAATATTACACAGCAGCAAGTGAGGGAATCATAAAGAAAAGGTATGAGCAAAAATATAAGAATAAGACAATAGGAAAATAAAAATTAAAAGAAAGCGAAAATGTAATTAACGAACAATTGTTTAGAAATCATAACTAGAGTTGGATGTTTTATGCTAGAGAAAGATAAAGTTCAATTAGCTATGGGAAGTCTTTTTAAAAAACTAAAATAACCTGAAGTAATCTAAATAATGTCTTTTCAGTCTTATGTTTTTAATAATGATGTGTGCAAGTTTATAAAATGTATCTTTTATAGTCATCCACAGTTTTTGTGATCTTTTATATAATAAATTTTCAAACTACTTCATTAATAACATTCCCACATCATAAAATATCTGAAAAATAATTCCATCTTAGAAGAATTATCATCTGGACTTCATATGAAAAACACTGGATCATAGCACTGAAACCTTCGAAGAACTTCTTCAGATATGGGGACAATGATATATAAAACATTACTGGAACATAAAAAATATCTGTACTCTATCCAAAAAGACGATCCTGTAGTTGCAGTAGGTTGACATTATGTTGCACAAGTTTTAGCGTTACAAGTACACAAGGACTCAGGAACACATTCACTCACTAGTTACAGGGACTCTGATGACAGTAGGAAAGAACTACTTGTCGTTAAGCCGGTAATAGTTGCTATGAGTACACCCTTAGGTTTAGAGATAGATTTGTTTCTGTAGTACGTAGGAGAAACAATGGCACCACAGCGTATGTACGTATACTTAATCTTAAAAGTCCAACTGGCTAATGCTATTTGCTACAGTAATGGGAAGGTAACACTTCTGCCACATGGTTTGTTTTAATTGAAGGGTAAAGGTGAGTCCACTTGGCCCAAGCACAAATAATCGGCATATGTCCCAGCTACTTTCTAAGCATCGGCTCTCCTTGTCTTTTTCAAACATTACCAATAAGAAGCATCAAATATGAGAAGGGGGTTGTGCAGACTGGTTTTCCTCCAGGACCCATGCTGGTCCCATCTTCTCTTTTTTCCCCCATAGGATTCCCAATGAAGCTCCTGGTGAGATTTTTGTTCTTAATCTTCTTTTTCTAAAGAGAGAGAGAGCCTTGGGTGCCTGGCACCTTTCTCCAAGTTCCATGGCAAGACTGACACCGCCTCGCAGCAGAGGAGCTGAGAGGCCCCAGCAGGGTCACCTCCGAGTCTCCTGAACACTAGTAGTCTGTGAGCCCAACAAGGAGCACATCTCAGGATGTGCTGCTGCCCGGCCACCTAGTCCCAGGGTCCCCTCCCTGTCCCCACCTCCTCAGTCTGGCTCCCCTGTTCACCCTGGATGCCCTGACACAAGCTGGTGGGTCACTCAGCTGGCACGTTGACAGGCGCTGTCCCTTTCCAAGCATGGCCAAGTGTGCGAGTGTATATACGGATGCACGATTGTGCCAAAGGATTATATTTTGTTGATTTTATTTATTTTTATTTGCGCTAAAAGTAAATACCATATGGAATTGTGCTTTGTCAGAACTCTTCCCTCCTCAAGGTGGCTTCTGAGTAATTCAAGAACCAACATCCTGGCCTGGGTCTCTGTGTGCTGTCTCCCCCTCCTCTTCCCAAAGGCAGCAGCTGTCTCCCCTTGCCCTCCTCTCCGCCCCTCCTGACTTTCTGCACGACCCTGGAGGGAATCCAGCTCTCTGGCTCTCTCGCTTCTCCGGGGAAACTTCACTACAAGGTGGACGAGCTCTGCTTGTAGTCCCTCAGGATGACAGAGGCGTAGGTCACGTTGGGCGGGGTGCAGAGCACGGACTCCGACACGGGCGAGCTGGGCACCGAGCTGCCAGAGGCCACCGAGTCTCGGAAAGGCGATGGGGGCGTGAGGGCCGGGGAGGCCTCGGGGGTCAGCTTGCGGGCCGCCTGCGGGTCCTCCTCTTCCTCCTCCTCCAGCTCGTCCTCCTCCGTGTTGCCTTCACGCTCGTGCTCGTACACGTACTCCTGCAGCAGCTTGAACCTGTCGCTGTCATCGTCGTCCTCGCCGAGCGGGGAGCCGGGGTCCTCCCCGAAGGGGCTCAGCTGCAGCGGCAGCATCTGCAGGTGCTGTGGCACAGGAGGGGGCGGGAACAGGGGACGCAGCCCGTTTCCCTGCGCCCCAGGCGCGCCCAGCCCCGCGTGCAAGTCTGGGATCCCCGCGCTGAAGTTGCCTACCACTCCCTGGAGCTGGTCCATCAGCGACTGCGGCTGGGGCGGTGGCTGCTGGGGAGACTGCTGTAGAGGAGGGGGCAAGCCCTTAGGGACTCCGGGGTCTGCCAGAAAGAGGGGCGTCTCCTCCGCGCTCAGGCGGGACGCGGAGGGCGCTTGGCGGGGTGCCACCGAGCAAGGGCTGCCCGGAGGGCTGAAGCGAGCAGGCTGCGAGTCTTCCTCCTCCTCCACGTTGTACAGGGTCTTGGTGCTGGTATCTGAAAAGGTCAGGCTCTTGCCGGAGCCCTGGTAACTTTTAGTGAGGGGCTTGATGACGGCCGTTTGGTTGCAGGCCGTCTCATTGGTCTTCACGTGCACAGAGAGGCGGTGCCACGTGTGCTGTCCCTTGGGCACCTGTCTTCCACCTGGTTCAGACCATGACACAGACTTGCCATTAGAACTATGAATAAAATAGAGATGGGTTTATTTGCAGAGAGAACATGCACAAGGGATTGGACACAGGCATCAGTCCCACACGCCCCACTCAGTGCTATGTCCCCCCACCTCCTGCCCTCAGCCCCTCCTTCACTCCCCAGGCCGCCTTCCTACAATCCAACCACCAAACTGCAGTTATGAAGGAGGCTGCCCGTGAAGCTGCAGCCAGGGCGTGTGCCCCACGCCAAGAAAGGAAACACTGACTCCGAGAGAAGCTGTTAGGGAGAAAAGTCTGTGTTGCAGAAACAGCTATTTTGGAAGATTTCAGAATTGCCCTCCAAGTCACTCCACACATGCACTCTAAGGAAACAGTGTTTATCCATATGCAGTCCTGTGGTGATTCCCGAACTGGTGGAAGAAAGTAAAAACTCTTAGTTACTTATTGACAACAGAGCATAATGACTTTAGCCTGTGAGAAAATTAAAACCCACACGTAAAGCTACTGTCATTGTTCCTTGGAATTGTGAAATAGACCCTCTCAGTTGCCCATTCTGACGCATAAAGTGTTCCTGACTGCACACAGGGCATTTGTGCCATGACAGAGCAGAGGATGGGAAAGCTTACACCCGTGACTGACTAAGGCGTTTCATCGCTTTCCACTGTCTTTGTTTATAAACATCACGACCCATTCGGTGGATCACCGTTCACATGAGGACCGCGGCTCGCAGTGCCTCGGATGAGATTTTCACAAAGTAGTTGGGAATACTCAGCTAGGCCTGTTTGAAAACAGAATGGGACAGCGAACAAAATGCTAATGCTCAAGTTGGGCTTTAGCCCTCCCACAGATGTTTTCGTTTTTAAAAAAATATCTTTTCATTTGATACAAATGAGACAAAATGAAGATCCCGAGAGAGCAGCAACCCCGGATCATTACTCCCTCAGCCTTAGTAAGGAACAGTTTTAGGGTCCCAGGAGTCTTCTTGTCTTACCAAGTTTCAGCTTCATGAAACCCTCATAAAACCCACCCAATACAATGTCTCTCTGAGGAAGAAAATGAAATCCCCTGTGCACCCTCATCACAAATTCAAATCTGTGTATTTTAATAATTCTGGTCTTTTTTACTTCACTTACTTCTTGTATAACTTTTAGCAGATGGTAGTACTTTGCCACCACATTCTAATAATAAGAACAGTGCTAATACTTAAAGGAAATCATCTTTCCTGGGTTTTTTAGGACTTTGCTTTTTCCCCCTTCATACCTATTAAACCAACAGAGAAAGTAGCACAATAAGAATGCATTTGTGACATTTAAAGGAATAGAAAAATGAACATTTTTTCTTTATATGGAGGTGTGAAATAGACTATTCCATTTCATATTCTTTTGTTGGGAAAAAGCAGAAAATGATTAATGGCATAATGATTTATTTAATCATTTTGAAGAAACAGGACTAAATGCTTCAAAATGATATGACTGCCACATTAATGATGAGATTAATACTTTGACATTTCATATTTTGTAATATTTAAAAGTGAAATGAGCCAAATAAGTACACATTAGTGTAGAAAATCTGATACATAGTCTGGAAAAATCTGGACATAGGGAGGTACAATTGATACAACAGCTAAAAATTTGACCTTATTATTTATAGGGGAGAACGTTGTTCTTCTACTTATATGATAATTCAGCCTGTGTTTTTAATTATCTAAGAAAAAGTCTCACTCTAAACTATTACATCAAAAACAACTTTTTCTCAAATACATATTTCATATGCTATTTGGCAATGTACAAATGCCTACGAATTCTAACTTTTCAAATTTTATAACTGCCACACTGTCTTATTGGTATAGCCTCTTCTGAGTTGAACCAAGTAAAGAACAGGACAGTAGTGTCCCTAGCAAGAATGAAATCACCCCTCCAGCCAAAAGCAAAATCAGAATCTTCCTCTTCCAGGTTTACAACTCCAGGTAAGCTCCCCTCCCAGTTCCACCTTCCTCAGTTGTCTGTGCCTTCCGCTGTGTACACCATTTCTCTATGCATCCCATGCAGCTCTTTCAAAGCCCATGAAGCCCACTGACTCTCACCTCCCCCACATACGGCTTCCCACCCACTGATTTACATCCATTTCAATTGCAGCAGAAAGGTCTTGTTCTTTTTCAAGTGCCTACTTGGTAATAGCCATTAATAAAATCATTAAATTAAAATGCTGTCATATGTCTTCACTTAATTGTGTGTATTTAGAAAACCAAGACCCCCAAGGGGGGGTTCACACCTACCTCAGAAGCGCCGATCAGGGTCAGGCTAGGGAGCCCTGATAACACACTGTCCAGTACCCTCTTCTACCAGGAAGATGTTTCTCTGGGCTCCTGGAAGGCCACCAGGTGACACCCTTGTTTCCCTCAGTCACATAGTCAGGAGTCCATTGTGGCTCTACTCTGCATACTCGCATACAGTAACAGTATTAATAATACCATTACTACATGCATATGCCAACACAGAAACAGCATCAGTAGTGATCTTGCAGGAAGAGGTAATCACCATGTACTCTGTTTTCATCAAACCCAAACTTCACGTTTTGTAATGAAGGATTTTCACTATTGCTGTCCAAATCAGCAGCTTTCCTACCCCTCAGGGTCTTGCTCTAGATTTGATCAACTTCAGTTTAATTAGAAAAAAGATCTCATGCCTCGGGGTATTTATCAGATTACAAAAAATAGACTTTTTTTTTTTTTAAGGTCAAAAGAAATTATTTCTAGAAAATCAGAACCGGTAGAGAAAAAGTGTCACACAAAGTATAAACTTCGCTATTTCGGATGAGTCACTTCTCGCTTGTGGGCCATAGATAATCTGAATGGGCCATGATTTGATGCTTGCCTTCAGCATTGCTGTTAGACTGAATCGAGGTTATTTATTTATAGCTATTGTACCACTTCTTTGTGTTAGTCCACATGCTACTGGGATTGATCCCAGGGCCTCCACAGTGAGCCATAGCCCAACTCCTTTCTTATATTTTAGACTGAGACTGGGTCTCGCTACCTTGGTCAGGCTGGGCTCAAAGGGCCAATCCTCCTGCCTCACACTCCCAGAGTGATGGAATTATAGGAATGTTCTGCCATGCTTAGTTTGTTTTTAAATGCCCATGAATGCTATTTTGATGAAGTGTACTGTGAGATGCAAATATAAATAAATCCTGACTACCTTTTGTTGTGTTCGGTACTTTAATGATCATTAATAAAGTTAAGTACTATCATTAGTTCCAGTAAAGGCTTCATAACTGTCTTGACATGAAATTAGAGTAGCCTATTTGAAAACACTGAGAACTCATTGCTGTGATGCTGAGAAGAGAAAAAACATAAAATGCAATGTATGTCTATATGTGTAAATGTATATGTGATGGGCATCACGATAGAGTATATACTATAAAAATTCATTATTACTATGGTATAAGACTTCTGCTTAATTCCAGATAACTTTAATATCTTCTGCTTCAGCACTTCTTTGTTCTATTATTTAACTTTACTGTATTTCTTAATGTTAAGAAAAGAAATGGGGTTTAGAACATATCACATAATTGTCACAAAGTACCTTATCCTTCTCCTTTTAACTTCAAAAGACAAGCCTAAAATAATCTCCTGTTTGAAGATCAAATGTAGCACATTCAGGCCAAATATCTCAGGGGGCTAAATGTATTTATTGGTATCACAGTACTGGAGGAAGCTGCTGGCAGGCCTAGAGGAGGGATGATGTATATTTAACACATGCAGAATTCGACAGGCCGGGATAGCAGCTCCAGCTACAAATAGGTTCGGGATCTTGCTTTGGTTTTGCTTTCATTAGATAAGTATCACAATCCCCAAAACACAAAATCCAATGTTTACAGCATTTTAGAGATGAGCTGAGAGTGGGTGGTGTAAACAGATTAGTGTATCTGGCGTTCGGAGTGATACTGTCTGTTTTATGTGTTCCAGTAAGCACTAGATACATCTGCAGAGTACACTGCTCTCTGCTCCAGAGAGTTCTAAAATGGGAATTGCAGTGGGTGGGTGCCTGAGCTCAGAGGGAAGCGCCGAAGCCGATGAAAGGGAAGGGTTACACAACACCTGTGTCCTCACGCTCCATGAGTACATGTCTCAGAGACTGGGCATCAGAGCTGCGCAGCAGAGATAAGAGTTGGGAGTCTGCAGAAAGCTCACAGGCTTGTGAGACCCTTCCATGAGGAAGGGAGACTCATTCCTTGGAGTGAAACATTTATTTTCTTGGAAATCACATGCAAATGGAAGTAGAAATTGCCATTGAATTCCATTATGGAGAGAACAGCTCACCAAAAACAGAACCCATAAGCGACCAGCTTTGGGTCAGTGCTCTTTGCTTCCCATGTTGTACCTGGTGTGGCTCACCTGGCTGAGACAGGCCCAAAGGACCACTGTGGCCTGAGCCTCCCTGCACTCCCCACATGCCCCAGCACCTGGCAACTGCACACAGCCTGCGGGGCAGTTCATGGAGATCCTCAGGCACAGGAGCTATTTGAGTCAGGCTTCTGTTTTTTTCTGGCAACCCCAAAGTGGTCTGCTATACAAGGGACTTCCACTGGCTCCATTCCTAATTCTTGCATGCATTAGAGAAAAATCTGCTTATGCAGCATGTGTTCTCCAATCTATGCATCTATTTGGTCATAATTAAAATTTGTTGCACTTTAGCTTGTCATTTGTTGGGAGGTAGAGAATCTCTAAATGTGTGTGTGTGTGTGTGTGTGTGTGTGTGTGTGTTTAAAGAAACCTTTATTATTTGAGAACTTGGTGGCTTCTGTTCCTATTATGTATTTTTAGGGGAAGGGGCAGTTGAGACAGGGTCTTGCTATGTAGTCCAGGCTAACTTTGAACTCACTGTGTAACTCGTAACAGGCTCTAGCCTTGTTATGAGAAGCCTTCTACCATCTCCCAAAGCACACCAACATGACCACCATGTCTGTCCTGCTGAGAATCAGGATGCTTCAGTGGAAACCATACTCTATCTAGGCCTTTAAAAGGA